CTCAAATGGCAGCTACCTCTGCTTGAAACACGATACAGAAATCAGAAACCAAAATTGAATATCCAAGAGTAATTTCTCACAGAAGACACCTCCTCCAACTCTGCCAGCAAGCTGCTGCCATCAAGTTCATCCGTGAAGATATTCATCCGTCCTTTGCTCCAAAGACTACCTCCCTGTCATGCGTCCCTTTGTGTTATATGTGTAGAGAATATTGCTCTCGGAGCCATCCTCGATGTACACAAATGGGTTAAATTGAAATTAAATTTTCCTCGGTGCCCATACTCCGAAGAGTGAGAGAGAGAGGGAGAGAGAGAATCTGCTATGTTCACTGTTATGATACCTAGCATCACGTTTAGAGCTAGCGTTGGAGTAGGGCGAAGTGCACCACTAATACCAATTAAGGATGTCCTTTTCATGAGTTCCAGCCGCATGGCTAATGTGAACCTTTCTAGTGAGTTCCACCAAATGAAGGTTTCATACAGCCAGAACCCTTTCTCTTCACAATAGCTCTTTTACAGCAGTGCTTTCTCCACTCGCTCCTCGATATTTGGTTCCCACATTAGCTTTCTGTCAATAATCACTCCCAAGTATTTCACTTTACCAGAAAGGGCAAGCGGAATGCCTCCGATCGAGGAAAGTTGGGCATAAGACGAGCTCCGTCTTGCCAGGATTAAAAGCGAGCACGCAGCTAGCAAACTAGTTTGTGACCAAATTTAGGTATCTCTGCATCAGAGTCCTCACTACAGTAAAATTTATCGGAGATTTTTTTTTCATAAAAAATTTTAAGCTCTTAACTCCCAACTTATTACGTCTTTGAATAAGATCCATGAAGGCTACAAAAATTCCAATATCTTCGACAGTATATATGTAGTTAATTTTTACTGCGTCCCGCAACACAGCGCTATTCCGAGAGGTGAGAAAGCAGACTAGTGCGTGAGTATGGGATCTGAGAGAGGATTAAAGGAAACAGATCAAAGCACACAGCCTCTCCTGCGATACCTCTATGAAAGAGTTGATAGAATATGTACACACAAGCACTTTATCGCGCATACTCCAGCCACCGCTGGATGAACGAAGATCACAGAGTTTGCTAAGGCTCTCAAAACCGCATGTGCGGACCTGTGCGAGACAGCTAAAGGAAAACTCCATTAGAAGGTTAGCTGGAGTTCGCATGAAAATCAGTATGCTAGATGTGTGAGAGAAGGGCACGTTTAGGGCAAATTAAAATTTCAAATGAGAATTTAAGCTGAGTACGTTTTATTTTACTTAAAAAACTGGTTTAATAACCACTAATGCTTTATAATCTGAGCACAAGTGCCTAGGCCCTTTTTTCAGTCGCTTATTTTTTTACGATTTAAACTACCGGGGCTATCACTGATCATTTGGAGGTTACATTTTCCTAAATTTGCGAATGGGAAACATAAGTTTTCGCACCTCATTTCTCTGAAATTTAACATTTTTAGAAACTTCCCGATGTTTAGTAAATTCTCGAAATATTCTTATAACGAAATATGTACATTAAGGTGTCTCACCAAAAAAAAAATTGCGGTTTTTCCACCGGATTAAAATTTTTTTATATTTCAAGACTTCCGATAAATATTTCGAAAAATATTATGAGCTAAATCGGTTCAGCTCCTCCAAAAATTTCAGTATTTTAATTTCATTGATACAATTCTAATAATTTTTATGCAGTTCTTTTAAGTTTAAACTCTTCTATCATCTGAGGTGGTTTTTTAGAAAAAAATTTTCAAAACTTATTTTATTTATAAAAAACTCGATTCTTGTAGGTAATTTCAAATCGGTCCAGCCCACATAAATTTAATATTTTCCGAAATATTTTCGCTTAAGTCTTAAAATATAATAAACTTCAAACTCTGATGAAATAACTGTACCAACTTTTTTTGTTTAGGTGGCTATGCAACCTAAACTACATATATACGAAAAATGTATACATTTAATAAACTGTGATATGTTCATTTAATAACTGCGTCACTTCATTTTTAAATTGTGAGAATTTGCAAATATTTGTTTAGCAAAAATATAGTGTTAAATATGTATGCACATACATATGTAAGCAGAGACTTGCGTGTCATGTTGTCTAAGAGCTCTCGAATCCAAATATATGTATGTACCTAGGTAGATCCTAGACGAACACCTAAATTCATATGTATTTAAATATTTACATACCTACTATAAGCTCTTGCTAAAATATTCAAACAAATTTATCTAACCATTTTATGTTTAAGCACCTCAAAACTGCAATCCATTGTAAAATTGCTTGGTAGCTACATACATATGTATCTATGCATGTAGGAAAATATTCAAAAAATTTCTAAAGTACATGCTGTTGACAGTTTGAGAGGGAGGGAGCAAGTTTTAATGAATAAAGTTAATGTACTCCAGAAATTCTTACTTGATATCAATTTTACAAGAGCGTACTGAAATCAAAATTTATTTAAAAAAATAATAATATTTCTTTTGTTTTATATTTTTTTAATTTTTTATTGTTTAATTTCATTTGTTTTTGTTATTTTATGGCCTTATAACAATTATATTCCACAATTTTTATTGAGCTTGAGGCCGTTTTTAATGAAAATCTTATTGTGGAAAAGCAACAATAATTTGAAAAAATGTTAGAAGTGATAGCTATTTCGGAAATCACCACATTTCCTCATCAGTTTTCTTTCGTTATGAAACTTCGATGTTTCGAAATTTAAGGCCGCTAATTTACTCAAAATCGATACTAACAACAATCCCTTGAAAAGAAGTAACATTATTATAGAATTTTGGAAATTGGGCGTGATATCGCCCACATCTAACTATATAAGTTTATCCCATTAAGTATAACTGAACATACTATCGAAATTGTTAGAAATAGGGGCAAAACCACTCTTCTACCATGTAGCGGTAGTTTTCAGTAGGGCTAAAAACTATATTTAATACTTGCACCGGGTATTCAATGTTCGGCTCCACCCGAACTTAGACTTTTTTACTTGTTACTAATTAAATTTTATTTTAATTTTAATTTATATTTTTAATTTTTATTGTACTTTATTTTACTTTGCTTTAATTCGATTTGATTTAATTTAAATATATTTTTTATTTAATTTTTATTTTAATATTTTTTTGCTTTTTTTACCCAATATCCGTTTAGTCTATTGCATTTATTATTTAACTTTTTTCTGATTTTGTCAATTCCCGTCATGAAGATATTCATTGATTGATTGAAATTATTAGCCATCCAAAAAGTTTTTTATTTCATACAATAAGTGGTATAAATCTGGTTTGAATTCTTGGAAATTTCAATTTTGTGGGAAAACGCAATCAAAGTTATATCAATTCATACAGTTGGTATACAAAAAGACAGATGGAAAAACACATACCTTCACCATATTTGACAAGTTTGGTTATCTGCTGGACTGAACATATTTTACTCATCAAATTTATTAATTGCATGACGAAATTTCCAAAAAAGGAAATTTTTAGTTACATCTCTATATTATTAAACGTGCGATATGGCAATTATTTAAATTGTTTGTGGTTTTCCTTAGCGGGAAGGCGAGACATCTTAATGTTTACTTTAAAATTTATTTAACACGAGCGAATGAAAAAGAATGCGGCACATGTCAGTACAAGCAAATATTTATTTTTCGTCTAAGGTTTACAGTAGCCGTCCATAGCTATGAAACGGAATTGGGCACAGGAAATCAATTAAAATAATTGTGTTTGTACTAGTTTAAAAAAAAAAAAGTGTGAAGTTTTTTATTTTCCTTGTTGACAGTTTTGAAGAAGTATTTTCATCGAATAACTCAGTCTTAATTTTATTAACATTGAGAAGCGATGTGTGAACAGCATGGACTATGGTCTTTCGATGGTCCCAAAGGTATGAATTAGAATTTCGACGTCAATTTCTTTATTACCCTGCTCAATATCATCACGGCACTCGGGCATGGAAGAAAAGTTGAGCAGCTTAGCAAATGAATCTAAAAAGCCGATTAAAATAATATGGACATAGTGCAGCGAATTAAAATACAGTGGCTCCGATGGCTAAGCCATGTCTTCCGAATGGACACCGACTCTCAAGTTCTGAAAGTATTAAACTCGGAATGCACTGGTGCTAACAGAGGAGGAGGGAGGAAAGACCAAGTGGAGAAGGACTTGGCTTCACTTGGCATTCCAATTGGCATCAGTTAGCAGAAACGAGGAACGACTGACACGCTTTGGTGAACTCGGTTAAAATCGTTTAGGACGTTGAGAAGTATACAAGCCCGAAAGCGAAGCAAATGCGAAGGCGAGCAAGACGGACATATACGAGACATTCCGAGAATTTTTTGGAATTTTTCGTATCCGTTCAGAATTTTCCCGATTTTCCGAGATTCCACTTTCGGTATTTTCGGAATCTCTTGGGCGTTTTGAGGACTTTGCCGGATTCCTCGCGTTTTATTTTTCAGATTGTTTCGGAATTTTTCCTGACACTTCACAATTTTGGGATTGGTTGCTGTATGCCCAAAGTATAATAGGCAAATCCGATCGGATATCCGAATCCGGCTCCTATTTTTTACATGGCACATCCCTAAAATTAATTCCGTGTATCCGCAATTATGCAGCACTTTCATTCAACTGCAAATTGTGTATAAATAAATCTAAAAGTAAATTACTACAACTAATTAATATCCAAGATATTAGAAAAGTGTGCCATAAGCTCTATAAGTGGTGCTTTCAATTTTATCTCTAATATCAAAAGCCACAGCACGCCGTATAACTTACCACTTATTTGTTGTTTGTTTAGGTGTTATACACAATTACTCGTTAAGTTTCTTATCACACATCACTAATTATAAACATTTAGCCAAAGCAAACTGATTCACATTCCAAAGTGTGTCACCGCCACTATAAAAGACATATTTACATATTTACACATTTACAGTAACAACAACAGCAGCTAACTTATTTCAACTAATCAAATAAATATTTACTTTATTTACTTACAGTGTTATAAACAAATAATCTGTATGAAGCGAACTAAGAGAGACTTTCGAAGAGGCAATATTTCCTACTGAGTACAAACATAATTTCGCCAGAGAAAATACAAATAAAAGCAGCAAAAATGACTACAAACACTATTTCGCCGGCAACTGCCACCCCTACTCCCGCATCCACAACCGCATTCAGTAATAGCAGTGCAGATCAACTCCCCACGCCAGCGCCGAGTAATAAGAGCTTCGACCAACTCACCTTTGAAAATTACAGTTACAGCGTTTACATGCACCCCACGCTGTCAGAGTATTATCCGAGTAAGTGCAGCTTTAAAATTAGTAATTATAAATTATTTAACTTTTCCTTTCTCCCCTCCACAGATCTCACACCCTTCGTCACACTTTGTCTCTTTGTGGGCATTTTAATTCTCATGCTAAACATTTCCATATTTCTCACGACGGTGGCTAAACTGAAACAACGTCTGCGCAAACCGCTACTTGCGCCCTCTATAGCACTCGTTTCACTCTATCCGCTCATTAGCCTGGTGGCGTTACTCACTCTACTTCTGCCGAAAATTTGGTTCAGCTGTCACACTGTAATGCATCTGTTATTCACTGTTGGTGGGATTATCTTCCATCAGCTGTGTTTGCACTATATCGGTTCGGAGGTGAGCTTTATCAAGGAAACCGCAGGTATGGCTGTGCCGATTAGAACACCGCCATGTTGCTGTTGTTGCATATGCTTGCCGGGCGTGACGCCCACGCGCGGTCGTTTTGTGGTGCTGCGTTGTATGGTGTGGCAGATGGTGTTCGTGCAGGGCAGCATAATGTTCGTATTGAATGGCATCTACTACAATGATATGGTAAGCACAGGAAGGGTTTTTTAATCATCGAACAATTCTTCACAGACACCAATTTCGGCTGTAAGCTTCCTAAGATTGCGCACGTTTATTGGACAAAGCTCTTACTCACATACATAGTAAATCTATATTTGAAGTATATGGGCATCCCGGCCAATCTTTTTTGGCTCTAAAATAGTGTCACACAAAATGTAGCCCGCAAGCAGAGCTTTTATGAGCTTTTGAGTTTTTTTTACCTATGTCCGACAGAAAGAGCTTTTAGTCTGCGCGATCAGATGAGCTTTTACCTTCTGCTCGCAAAATCTATAAAAAAATTTAGTTTTAAGTGCTGTTTGTGCTTTGGTCATTTTTGGTATTTTTCCTAGTTATCTTTATATCATTGATAAATTTCTTTCCAAAGTTTAGTCTAGTTAATTTATTGCAACAAATTTTCGATCGCTTGATGGCACACTTTATCGATAAAAGTCAAACATATCGTGCTCTATTCAAAACTCATTTTACTGGAATCCTTAGGAGATTTTGACTGCCATAGTATTTTAAATGATTCTTTAAATAAAAATAAAAAATTAACAGTTATGTAATTACACACTATGTTTAGTTAAACAAAAAGTTTCTTATTAAAAAGATTAAAATTTTTATTTAAATAACTCAGAATATAGAACAAATCTATAGTTTTAATTAAAATAACTAAAAAAGTTATTGGTAGATATTTTTCAGATTTGGTTAGTATTTAGTCAGTGGCAACCCTATACGAGTGAACAAGGTGAAAACTCTTTCTGGCCGACTCTGTTCCAAAATAACCAATGAGGACAACAGCATTATTTCTAAAAAAATGGTATTCAACAATTTTATTTAACTTGCGCCGTGTTTAATGAAAAATGTTGTCGAAAGTTCCACTGAACTTGTGATCTCTGCAACCAATTGTACCTATTGTTGTTTTCAGCAACAATTGTTCATTCAAAACGGCTGACTTTACTGAGCAGTTATTGAATATGATTTGTTATTAGACCAAAAAATAGCGAAAATTCAAAAAAAATAAAGAAAAAATCGGATACTATAATTATGGCAAACCGAAAATCATACTTTTTTTTAATTAAATTTTTTTTTTGCTGACAGGGAAATGCATTTTTTTCCATACAAAGTATGCTCAACAAAATTTTTATATGGAAGCACCTTCAACAAAAAAAATGCCAAAATTCAACGGTATTTTGTAGAATATACTAAATTTTTATACAAAAATAATGAATATTAAATAAAAAAAGGAAAACTGTATATACTAAGGATCAAAAGGGTATGCTATTCTATTGACTGGGAGTTATAAGCAGTGCTGCCGATACAGAACTCTGAACACATTCATCTCCGAACTTTTTGACGTAGGAAAAAATATTTGGAATTTTAGTTCAAATATTCTTAAAAGTTTACAGTTTTAAGGTCTTTTTATGATTCGACAGCAAATGAATATACTACATATATCTAATAATTATTCCTTTTTACCCACAACTGCTAGTGACTAGCCCGCAGTCCCAAATTAGGAAAATAAAGGTTACTCTACATATGGCTACCATGGGCAGGAAAGGGTTAAACCATCAAAGCTAAATAAGAGTATTTCCTAAGCGCCAAAAATTCGTCTAAGTAAAATTAATGCCTTAGATCCATTTGCATTGGTTTTATTCCATCCAACTCAACTTAACTTAGTATAACCATTTTTTGGACCTAGGCAAGAATAAGCTGATTAAATAAAACGTAGGCTAATTTTTGGCTTAGCCCAGATGGTGAATATGAATAAGTTCAATAATTGGTAAACTCGCTCTTGGCTTAAGTTGACGTATTGAGTAATCATTGATGATTTCTTACGGTAAGTTAAAATAAGTTAACTCTAACTAACTGAGCTGTAAGGCGAGTTGCCAGCCAATAAAGGTGCTTACCTCTTACTCAGTAGACTCCAAGTGCTTAGCCAAGTTTCTAATCGAAGACATCAAACGACTTAAACATTTTAATTTTCTTTGCCGCGTACTCTTTTATTCATAAAATTATTTACTTATCTCATTTATTATACCAAGTGAAATCGGTAGACAAACCAGCGGCGTCTGTTTGCTCGCTAATTGTCGCCCGCCTGCCCGCCAGCTAGCTAGAAAAGTAAACAACAATGCCAATATTGTTAACACCACTTGAGGCAATTCTAAAAACAAATAAATATAATAGGTTGAAAACGCAACGCAATCCGTAACAATAAAATTTGTATACACATTTGTTCAAACACCAAAAACAATGCGCTGTGCTTAGCCAAAGTAAAGTTGCGCATTTGACAGCGTCGCCAGCATAGCCTCGGTGGCGCAGTAGGCAGCGCGTAAGTCTCATAATCTTAAGGTCGTGAGTTCGAGCCTCACCCGGGGCATTAGTTTTTTTTTTCTTCTATTTATTTTATCTTGCAGTATGGATTTATATATTTACCACAAAGGTAGTATTTATAATAATTATTAATAACTTTGATGAATAATTACGTACATATGTACATATTTACATAGCTAAATAAGTAATTTTGAAATTCGTTCATTTTGCCTTTCCAGGATCTATTCCTCGATGTACACTTATACTTCTTACCATTCATCATTTGCTCGATTATACTCGGCGTTTGGGGGCTGAATATTACTGTGCGTGTGGTAAATAATCTGCATTCGGATTATAGCACTATGGTGAGTTGAGCTTGCAAAGAGAATCTGCAAAGTTTATTAATTAGTTAATTCTTTTTTAGAAAAAAATGTTTTGCCTACAATTAGTTGTGTTACTTTGTAAAATGCAGTACATAATTTTAGATCAACAATTGGATCGAGTTTTGCTTGGGGGCTTGTATCCAATGAATCACGTTATATACAAGCAAAGTGAGTTTACAAAGAGATTTTTTTTTACAAATACATATACATAATTTAGAAATATTTTTAATACTTTCATAGTTCTTATCTTAGGAATTTTTTAATACATTTTTAAGAAAATCTTTTCTTGAATTTAATTAAAATTTATTTTCAATATCTTTAAAAATGTATCGTATTTTTCTATTTAAAATTAATTGTTTATTAAAACTTTGATAAATTAAATACAAATAATTTTTTCCTATTTTAATTTTTTTAATATGTTAGTATATATCCACTATACATTTTATTTTTATTTAATATTATTTCATTTTATATAATGTATTTTATTTTATCATTTTTTAATTAATTTTATTTCATTTGATTTATCTTGATTTTATATTATCTTTTATTTAATTTTTTTTGTTTTATATTATATATTTATTATTTTATTTTTGTTTTTATTTGTTTTATTTATTATTATTTTATTTTATACCATTTTATTTTATATATTTTTATTTTATTTTGTTTTATTATATTTTATTTTTGTTTTATTGAATAATATTTTTATTGAGCTTTGTACCACGATTGTTTATTAGGAAAAATTGAAAAAGCAACAAAGTCTAAGCGGTAAAATTTATAGCAGCTATTTCAGAGATCACCACATCTCCTCATCAGACTTCTTTTTCTAGACTTCATTTTTTATTTTATTTTATTTTATTTTAGTATATTATATTTTAAAGTATTTACATATTTACCGTTATTTTATTTTTAACTTTAATTTTATAACTTATTATCTATTTTATTATTCAATTTGTACTACTGTATTTAATCAAAAATTAAAAGAACATTTCTTAGTCACTTAAAAAAATTATTTTATAAAATGCGAAATATTTTTTAATGCAAATTTTTAATTACCTTTCTTTAATTTTTCCTCTTTGCAGCCATCATCAACACTTTGATCTTAGTGGAAATGATTTTGGTGTCGCTATTCGCGCAAAATGCGTACAGAATTCCAATTCAAATCGAAGATAATTAAAGACATGCAAATAAGAATACTTTAAATATAAATAAGTTACTCAAGTACAGCACTAGATAAATATTTAGCTACTATTTATTATACTTAATTAGTTTGTTTGTTTCAAAAGTAGTCTACACACATTGTATACGAACTATTTGGTATTATAAAATACCAAAAAAGTAAAGTAGTAAGATTATTTTCATAAAATCTGTATATTATGTACTTATTGTTTGTGTTGTCTTAAAGTTTAAAAGGCCAAGAAGCTTAAAACATGAATTTTAGCACAATATTTTTTTTAATATTTTTAAATTTTTACGCAACTGCTATGGTATACATACCTACTGAGACACGCACGTCTATATGTATATATATTTATATTTAAGTAAAGCGAATTAAGCAAAATTGTGATAAAAAAATTTGCAATATGGTTAGTAATATTTTTAAACATCATAATGTAGATGGTTGGATTTTTTATAGAAAAAATAAACAAACAAAAATTCAACGCATATTTTACTTTTATTTGGGCAAAAGAAATATCGATAACATACGCTCATGAAAATAAATATATCGATAAAATTAACTGCTTAACAGTGAATCAATACTTTATTCATTACAACTTTAACAAATGTATCGATAATTATCGATTACCGAAAACGGCGTCGAAATATATGAGAGAAAACATTAAATAAGGTAAGGACAAATTTATAAACAACACCGATATTCATAATCATCAATTTTTCATGTTAATAATTTTATTTGTCTTTAATAAGTAGGCGGAAGTCCTACCGAAAGTTATTGGTGGTGTGTAATCAGAAAAATTTATTATATTCCATTTATCAATATCCAGAATGGCGTTACCTTATTATGTTATTTCAAAAAAATTTCACTTAAATGTCAAGCGGCAAAGGGATTGTTTGTAGGAACACTGAAGAGGAGCCAGGCTTCGCAAACTCACAGTGTAGACAGTGTGCCAAATAATGACAGTATCCATATATATATAATATATATAAATATATATTTGAAAATTCATACGTAAACTGATGTGTTTGTGTTTGTGTTAGTTTTTTATTTAAAATTAACCCTCAGATAACACATGTTAAAAAAAGCACACAGTTTTGATCTGTAATCAAAATGGATTTTAATCCTAAAGATAAATTCCTATTATTTAATCAAATAAACAAGTCGTTTCAAGTAACAGTTTTATATAATTTTCTATTCTGAATACAAATTTTTTTGTTTTGGTTTTGTTTTAAAATGATGTTTAAATGTTTTATCTGGAAAAAAATTCTGCTCCTGAGTAAATAAACATTAAAAATTTTATAACAGAACTTTTTGCTGACCAAGTCGTAGTAAAACTACACATTTTTTTCAAGTTAATTTCGTACATTCTCTCTATTTCCACATTGGAAAGTTTGGGTAGTGGTATTTTCTTTGACGGAACTCATTCCGGATCCAATCGTTTACGCTTTAGACTCGTACTAGAAAGGTCGAAGGTTTTAAATAGTGCTGCAAAACCATCGATGTTATCTCGGGGGCCAAAGCTTAAACTTTGATTTTAAATTTTGTTATACTTAGTTTATAAAGAGATGAAAAGTGGTATTGTTTGGCTTTTAAATCCGTTCAATTTAATACGTGTAGATAAAATAATATTGGAGCACCCCCTTTCCATTTATCCATGGTTGTCTTTAAAACTATCAAAAACCATCGATGGTGCCACTATCGAGGTTTGCAGCACTACTTTTAAAAGTTCTGATCCATTTATTTTCCTGTAAAATCCTAAAAAAATGTCAAACAGCAAATTACGCTCTAACGTGAGAGTAAAAAGTGAGTAACAATTAAAAAGTACGACAACAAAAGCATGTTTCCTGTAAAAAACGTCCACCAGTGATCGCTTGACATTTTTCATGATGTTACCAGAAGAAAAAGTTTGAGCAAAATCTTGCAACTTCATTCTCTACACAACTCTCCAAGACTCGCTCTCATTTACAGGATTTTGGAGTACGAGAACATTTTTCCTGTAATTTACTGCAAGTTCGTGTAAAATCCTGTAAGTTCATGAAGTACTGGATCAGAGCTAAAATGATTCTCATACAAACGTGCTGTTGGTGGCAAAGACATGTGACAAGCTAGCTCCCAATGTTTTGTTTTTTCAACACGTATGCGGCATTATTATTTTTTTAGCTTTCTATATTTCTTTTTTTGTTAAAATTTTCTTGTGTTCACGATTTCAAAAAAAATTAAAATTCAAACTAGCAAAAAGGATAAAGAAAGTGACAACAAATTTCAAAATTTTAACTAACACACTTAAGCAATTGAATGGTCGCCACGAATAACATTGCCAGCTCCAATTTACTCAAAACTAGTGTTTTCGCAGATTACCGTTAAAAAGACTCTCGCTTATTATAAGGTCGCAAAATTTCTCAATTTCCATTAGAAATTAATCTACGCTCCAAAGTCAATAGTGAGTGGAAAAACGTTTTAATGCAAGTGACCATATCTAATTTAGAATTAACAAGCGTAATGCAAAATTGCAATAATGGCAAAAAACGTAAAGTACATTTCGGAAATTGGAATGATATGAAAAATAAGAGGATAGTAAATAGTGGGGAAGAATATTCAGAAAGAATTGGGGAAGGGGTATTAAAAAAATTACCAGAAACGGTAATTTGGAAATCGTTGTAAGTGAAGGAGCTGTGTTAATATCAATTTTGGTTTTGTATTCCCCAAATTTTCAACTGCGCTTGTTCTCTTCACTGCTCAAGCTTCATATTGGAGACTATTCAAAAGCTAGGGTTGCCAGGTTTTTTATGCGGGAAATCAGTACGTTAGACTGTTTCATGCTAAAAACAATCAGTACTTTTCAGTACATTTTTATTCAAAGCTAAATTATGAATGTAAGTAACAGACAATACTTTAAAACGCCAGAGTACTTGTTTTTAACAATATTTTGGTATATAAATAAAACATAGTTTATAAAAAATAAAAGTGTCTTTCATTTAACGTGAGTGTACACATCATTGTAGCACACACAGAAGTCAATAAATTATTTTATTTTTTTAAGACATTTTTGATTAGCAATAATAAGATTTATGACATTTTTGAATAGCAATAATAAGATCATTTCCATCTTCGGTCTTTAAATAGTCAACGAATTCTACACATTTCATATTAAAATTACTTTTAATTTGAATTTTACTTTAACAAATTTTATTAGAAGCCGGTTTCTCTCTTTGCGCCAGGAAGCAAACTTTATACTTCCAGTTGCTTCGTTTGGATGTGGTATTACAAAAAAAAAAAAAAAAAATAAAAAAATACATATTTCAAACTGTGGAAAAGTACCACTATTTAAGGACTTCATCTATATTTCGTCGTGGCTTGAATTCATTTTTTCAACTACACAAAAAATTTTAAAGACTAAGAATTCGCTGAAAAGAGTATCTAACTATATGTCTTGTATGCAAAACTCTTTTCCAAGGTCAGTAAATTGTGAAAAAGGAATTGTAAGTTATAGGCAAAAGCCATTCGAATATTCAAATTGGTGGCTATTAAACTGAAATTTATTTTCGAAATAACTAACTACAATCGACAAAGAAACGTCAACCTTACTTTTAAATTATTTAAGCTCCATCATATCATCGCAACTGGAATGTAACGACCCGGCGATATGCCCAAAAAAGGATTGATCATTTTGTTGTATTAATTTCTTGGGCATATAAAACATTATCCGAAGCATGTCAACTGTCAACTATAAATTATTTTCTTCTAACTTTTTACAGTACAGTTTAAGGAAGTTGCGATGTTATGTAAAAACCTTAAGAAAATCTTAGAGTATTTTGTTTGAATTGAAAATTCAGTACAAATCAGTACAAGTTTTGAAAAATCTGGACATTAGTGTACTGATTGAACAAATGAATAAAATCAGTACAAGTTTTGAAAAATCAGTACTGTACTGGTAAGCATTTCTCCAATTTTTATAAAATGACCTATGATGAACAATCAAAGAAACCTTATTGTTTTATTTATTACATTCATTTGTCGAAAAAATTGTAAGCGCCACCAGCAAAGATGCTAGGCTTACTGGAAAAACGTGTTATCATCCATTGGTATTTGGATATGAAACGTTTTTCCATCATTAAAATTTTGTAAATCTTTTTTGACTTGAACGATATATATGGATATACATTTTAATTCACGGGAGAGTTTCTTGGAGACTTTATGTGCATCATCAAAAACGTTTTTTTCCATTCCTGAAAACTTGTAATCTTGTCGCTTACAACGTTATTCCCGGCGACCATTCAATTGTCAAATATGGATATTAGAAAAATTAATTGTCATTACTTGGCACACTGGTTACACTGTGCGCAAATTAACCACCAACTGGTGTCGTGGTGTCCGTTAGGCTCCTCTTTATTAAACCGATCAAATATTTGACAAGTATCGCTATGCTCAGAGCAGTTGCAAGTTAGCAAAGTAACTTTGGAAAACCTTTATAAAATTTCTTTAACTAAAAAAACTGAAGTACCTAAAACTTGACTACATTTTTAAAACCAGCTCAGTTAAAGTTTCAAGATTGTTGGGATGTTTTGAGTTTAATTTAGTTCAAAATAATAATGCTACTTTAAATGTTATTTCAAATAGTCTTACCATCCTCGAACCATTTAATATAAAAAAGCTCTTAAAATATAATTTTTCCAGGCCAATAGAAAATTTTGGTCTTTCTCGATTTCTAAGGCTTGAAAAATACCTTAAATTATAAGAAAGAGAAAATTTGCGTTATTATCATAATTAATAAAAAGTAAGAATTAAACTTCTTTTTCATCTTCAAACGCATGCAACCTCTAAATTTGTCGATATTAGTTTAAATGTTTGTTGGGTGCATTTTTAGGCGCCATATTATCAGTAGATGGCTTTTCATCGCCCGTTTGGTTTGCTGTGTAAGCATAGCTGGCTGCACATTCCTAACATATACACTACAGACTAAAGACATCCATGAAGATTTCTAAATTTTTAAAGAATTTTTAGAGGTTCCTATCAGGGTTTTGAGTAGATTTAAACTGTTATATCGCAGAAATCCGACAAAAATTTGACTTTGACCAGCTATAACTTAGCGTTTTGAAATTTTTTCATATAAATTCATAAAATCGCTTTGGTGTATTTGGCTGGTCAAAATCAAAATTTTGTCAAATTGTTTTTAAGTAAAATAGGGTAAATAGCGACAAAAAATGTTGTCATTTAAAAAAACTGAAAATTTTTTCAAACCTTTGTAACGGCCCCTAATTTTTTTTAATAATTTTAATTTTCGCGAATGTTTATTTCGTTAGGAAAAAACAAACTAGAGGGGTGCACCATGATATTGATATTTTTAAGGACCACCCTAATGTG